CGATAACCCTAGAGATCGATAACCCTATGCGATCGAGATATCCCACCTGCATCCAGTCTCCGACATCGGTTTTCTGATCGATCGATAACCCACACCTATTTTTTGGTCATTTTCTGATCGAGATATCCCTATTTTCTGATCGAGATATCCCTATTTTCTGATCGATCGATAACCCTAGAGATCGATAACCCTATGCGATCGAGATGTCCTTTTTGGTCATTTTACGTGTATAAGCAAAATTTGCCAAACACTAAAAAACAACTTATCAGCTTATTGCAGTTTGGTACCGCTATAAGCTAATCCAAACACTTTTTACAAAACTCCGGTTTGATACCGCATAAGTTAATAAGCACTTTTACAAAAAAACATAAGTTGTTTTAAATAAGCAATCCCAAACACCCCCTAAGAATGCATGATTTTAATTGTTAAATTTGCAATTTTGTTGTATAATAATAATATAGTTTGATAGGTTTTTTTAATATACAAAAAGAGTATTGACAAATACACATCGAAACGACGACGTATGAGTTCGCTAATATGGTTTGGTTGGTCCAGTAGAAGTACGACTCTTGGTCGTCAGCAAGCTTCAATGGCAGTGAACGGTACGAAGAAGAAAGGTTATGGATGGGCGGTTTCAGCGGGACTCTGTGCAGCCCTTGCCGCCATTTCTGCCAAGTTCATTACCCCACAGGTAGGTTTTTGCTCCATCTCCTTTGTATTTCGCCGTTGCTCTACTGCCCTAACCTGGTCATACTTGTTCGGAACCCTAAAAGATCTTAACTTGTCATCGATTCATCAAAATGTAAGTTTCAGTTCTTCATTACACCATGAATGTATTTCAATGTCGGTGTCGTGATCAGATTATGGAATGCTTACTGAATCATATGAATGTTTAATTCCTTCGATTGTAAATATCAAATCACATATATTCCAATTTCCAAATACTGAGAAATCGAAGATTTTTACTTGAATCATAGTTAGTTCGAAGTATACCTCTGTGGAGCAGGAGGTTTAATTAAGTTCTTTGTTTTTCTCTTGTTTGTTTCAATTACTTTCATCGGATATATTATCTCATGAATTTGGCCCATACTTGCGGAAAGGGAAAACCCTTAATTATTAGAGTGCAGATTAGTCGTAGTTACTTACCATATCTGGAACACCATTGGTGAGATCATGAGATCTGTTGGCAAGAGCATCTCCAACCATACGGCAAATATCATATTTTACCCGAAAGGAAGCTCCATCTGATGGGCAAAAAAAACTGCAAAATGCCTATAGATGGGATAGAAACGCCATGTATGCCTGTATTTCGTGTTTTGTTCAAACGCCATATATGCCATGTGGTTGGAGTTGAAACAACTTTTGGTGTTAATGGCCCCACCAATTTGGTGTTTCTTTGGTTCTAGGGTCAGAGATGTCCAAATTTTGCATCAGGTTTGACAAATATGTGTCTGTTTGTACATGAAATTGCATACATGCACTTTAAGTTCATTTGCCTTCTTGTCTCCATTATCCATAATAAGTCCATTAAAGCATCTTATCTGGTTAAAAATCAAAGTATGATTATGTGCTACTTTGGTATTCTTGCGACTAATAAAAAAACTTTCTTCTTTAACAGCTTGTTAGGTATGTTATGGTTATAGTTTTCAATGTGGTGATGTGGGGATGCTATGTAAATAGCCTGAAAGCTCTCTCCTCTCTGCAAGCAACTGTGACCAACTTTGCAACCAACTTCCTTTCTTCTGGTTTAGCTGGATTTTTCCTCTTTGATGAACCACTGCCATTGAAGGTACATCTACATTGGCCTGTGAATTTTAGCTATTGACAATGCACTTTTCTTATCACACATTGGCTTTGCTGATCATACAAGACAACATTAACACCTTTAAGCATATTACCATTTACCAATGATCTAAACCATTTTCATGTCAGTAATCTTTTGGGGTAACCTGGCTGTGCGGCCAGATTGCCTGCGCCTTGACTAATCCCATAGGGATCTCAATATAACACCTAGGAAAATCCCATGGCGACTTATAGGGAGGAGAGCTAAGGCCTAACCTTTATTTCCAATTCAGAACATAACGGTTCACACCTTACTTAAAGGTTATGATGTAGGGGAAAGAACCTTGTGATTCAATTTTCCTTATAATTTTTTCACTCAAGTACACTGGTCTATATGCCAGATAACAATATACCAGGTCTGTGTCCCAATATTCCGATGCTTAAAAGGTAAAAAAGATGTTTCCTCTATTACATGAAAGTTTAAACATTTTTCTTTACATGATGTCCTTACAAATCGTGACATTCTTTTTTGAGAAAACCACTTTTCTTCCTTCGTCTTTATTATCACTGTAAGAAACTGATGGCATCGATTTGGTTTCACGATATTTTTCTTTTTGCCTATATTGAAGGGTGCTGTAGAAATTTGAGAGATGGTCAAAGGTTATACTTGTCCTGTGTCAAATCGAATGTTTCAATTTCCATGGGAGGAATCTAGAGGTTAATCGTACTTTGACAACTTTACATAAGGCAGAGTTGGTTATTTTGGGGTGGTAGTGGAAAAGTTAGCGTTTTTGGTCAAGTGAGTTGAACATTTTTCTTTTCCCCATTTGGAAGTGTTTTTGTCTCTGTATTCTATTTGTGTAATCTCTTGTAGGAGCATAGATGGGATTATAAACGTGGACAAATACAAGATTGTAATTCAATAGATATACATACCAGGGAACAGTTGACTGAAAGTTTAATTATCTGTATAAAATATCCAAAAGCATGGATAGTCATAGTTAAAGTCGGCCGACATGATTCCCCAGAAGGATAATTAGCGTTATGTGACTAACCCTCGATGTATTATGGTTATCAGATTGTACGTCTTTGACATTTGCTACTTTGCATCTTTTTGACTTTGATTGTTGGCTGCCTAGGCCATAAAACCAAATCAAACCAAACTGACCCAGTAGATTCCACTCGAAAGTAGGGTTCTTCTTTTTTGGGGGGGGGGGATGTATGCAAACTTGACCTCTTACCAGAAGAGTAAACCAGGGGTTGCCTAGGTCATCCAACCGCTATTTATTCGCTAGATTAACCTATAAATTGCTGGAGTTGATGAAGATTTCTAATTTAGAAATGTTAGGCATTCGTGAGTGAGTTTGTGCTGAAACGACTCGTATGAAATAAATACGTAGAAATTAAGCTCAAAGTTGTAACTTTTTGCATCAAACAACAATCATAAAAGTGATTTGATATTTCATTGCCTACTCACAACTATCCCATGTCTGATAGAGAGGTTGATTCAGTGGTTTGCAGGTGCCCTGCTTATTGTAGTTGGTGTATTCATACTCAGCAAGTCAAGTGTAGAAGAGAAAACAAGCAAGGACTAAAATCCTTCATCGCCTTTCAACCATCACCAGACTTTTGAGCTATTTTGTTCAGCTTTCTTCTTCATTCAGCTGAAGAGTTCAAGTGCAGGTTAGCTGAAATCTGGTGCAGTTGACGATTATCGGGAGACTGTTTTTGCAGGTACATAAACAAAAGAATTGAGCATCAAAACCATTGTTAGATGTAGTCATTTAGCTATCCTTTCTTTTAGATGATCAGAAGCATGTTTCTTATGTTCGAATTTTCTTTTAAGGATCCCGGTCTTCTTTTTCTTTCCAGAATTGCAATTTCAACGATTTCAATTTCTATTGAGTTTTTCGTCCTTGATACCGATCTAAGTGAAAATGCTATGCATCAATTTCCCTTTATGAAAATTTGAAAAACATCATTGTTAGAGTGTACTCAATTGGTTGAACTTGTTCAAGGGAAGAGGTCCTCAACCCCCCAAGGGTGGGTCAATTTTTTTCGTAACTATAGTTGTTTTGACCTGCTTGCATGCACCCCAACTGATCTCATGGCCCCTGAAGTATAGTTAGGGAAATCCTAATGGCATACTCAAATTGGCGACCTATGTGGAGGATCCAATGACCTAGCATTTATTTGTGGTTTTCCTGACCCTGGGGTTAGTACGGGTCAAGTTCGCAAAATAACTTGGAGGGTTTGAGCCTTTCGGTGCTATTGATCTTGTAATAGGTGATGTCAGTTTCCCATAAAGAAAAGATATGTTTGATTTAATTGTATGTGATATGTCAGATACCACAGTTACCAAAAAGGGAAAATAATAGGAATCGTGGTTCACGGGTGGATCATGTATTCCTTGATAAATTACCATGGTGCCTCATAGGCAAACAACAAACGTTTCACCTCTTATTTTGGGTTCTAATATTTTCGAACAAGAAAATATTTTTCTATAGGTCCAAAATTTGATCCTTGTGTAACTGGTTTTTGGTCGGTCTCTGTTCTGGATCCATGATATGCATCTCTACATGCAACTACATCACTCTCAATGAGAACCAATTGATACCAAAGTCATGAACTTGATACAACTCAAAGATATGTAATTAATCGGTGTTTATGTAATTTAAAAAAACAAACACATGCCATATAAGACAACAAAACGGAACCCTAGCTGAGATTACAACAACATCACTACCATCTCTCCATCGGCGTTGTTGAAGTAAGCAACCATCTCACCATGTCAAGAAAGGAGAGCACGAAATCCCCTGCAAATCGAAACATTAACCACTACCTGAGCAAAAGAGAGACGGTACAAATAGTTACATGATGAAGAGGAGTTTTATGAATAATCAATCATGAAATGCGAATAGAAATATCCAAATAAACATAATCATCATATGAGAGATAATTGAAGAATCGTGTGAGAAGTGAGGATGAAAGTTATGGCGAGAAGCATAAGAAGAGATCCGAACCCTTGATCACTTTTAATCTCATGTCCATCAATAAATTGCGCTTTATAAGGGATTTAATTTAACCTCATTAATATTGACATTCATTTGGGATTGATCCAAGGGTGGAAATATCTTCTTACGTTTCTCACCGTAACTTTCCTTTTGACCGGAACTGAACCCTCGAGAGATATGGATTGTAAGATAAAGTAAAAATATATGAAATTGGTAAAATAAGTGGGTGTGTATTACAAGCTGAATTTGCTTTTTTAGAATCAAAATAAACAAATTATGAAATGTGGTAAAATGCTAAAATGTTGCCAAAAAAATTTGATTTTTGAAACTAAACGTAAATTATCTGATTACTACCAACTTCGATAAATAATGATTATGATTATGATTATTGAAACCACAATAATCATTGTAAAACGCACACCTCAGATAGAGGTGTACAAGGCATAGTTGCGGCCCTCGATGAGCCCAATGCAAGGTCTGACTCTAAACAAAATATGGTCTCGATGCTTGAATGCGAGCCTAATTGAACCCAAATCTCAACCAATCAATGATTCCTACCAGGCTTACACCAGTTATTAATTGTTTATATACTTTACTTAATATTATTAATTGTTTTTATATTTTACTTAATATTATTAAACCAGATCAAATAGACATGAAAGTCTAGGACCAAGACTAGAGAGACCATACTTTATGATACTAGGGTTTGAGTCACCTCTATCGCTAACGATCACCGTAGTCTCATTGTTGTTTAGAGCAAAATCTGGTAGGTTCCAGAAAATATCTATAGACAGAATTGATCAAAAAGCAGAAAACGGATCACAATATGTAACACTTTAGTGAATAAGACCAAAGCTATACTCCCGGTAGCTTATTGGGAATAACTATCGGGAGTGAACAACTTGATCATGGCATGATTTGGGACCCGATTTTTATTGCCAACAACCAAAATATATTTCAATTTGTAATCCGTTCTCATAATTAAGCAATCAAGTTCCGTTCTTTGTTGATAACATATATAATGCCAGTTCCTTGATTTAGTGACTTCTCATGACATTATTTGTCGAACTAGTTGTACTTGTATCCAACGACAAAAGGGGTAATGTTTAACGGTAAATAAAGCCATTAAGAATGAACACATGTATCGAATTTCCCAATTCTTACGACATTATATCATTAATACCGTGTATCTGAGTAATACAAACACTGCTTAAGGCAGTTATGCTTCAATACCTTACGATTCACTTCAAATTCCATCTCTCGTGGATAGTGCTTATACTTGAAAACTATCCACAAAATCTAAACGTTGTGCGTGATTTCTGTCACATCCAAATACTGTAATACTAATCATATTTCCTATCAATACAGTTGCCAAAGATGGATTGCCAACACGTATACAAAAACTGAGGTTTTAAAACATAACCCAGTTTGGTTATGGTTGAATTATTATTGAAAAAATGCGTATCTTTTCATGACATCTGATCGTAATACACTCAAAATCATTAATATCGAATTAATTATTGGCTCGTAAATGCCGTATACTTGTCGAAAGCCCCAATGACACAATACTAATACCGAATTAAAATCGATTTAAAGACGACATAAAACATATAAAACCGATTTAAATCCGAAAAATAAAAGGACGGGAACAAAAGGGAAAGTAGTGGGCCGGTGGGCCCCATTATGCATACTAGAAAGAACCTGCGGAGGCCTTAAACCCTAAATTGAAAAAAAGGGGGAAAATCTAGCTGACAACGACTCCGAAAGAAGAGAGAAAAAGTTAAAGAAAATGAAATGACATTGGAAAAAGTATCAAATCTGGTGAATTGGGATTGAAAGTTGAAACCCCAATTTGCCCAATCCCTTCTCTCACACACTCTCTCTCTTTCCTTATATGTTTTTAGATTTATTACCCTTATTAATAGCAATCACACAGACCCCATTTTTCTTCGTGGAATACAATCCCCTTTTCAACAAGTAGGGTTTCAGCAAATACAATCTTGATTTCGGCCGGAAAGATCCTAAACTTGGGTACTCCTTGTTTAGTGGTTTAGCAGTGGAATCGATTGTGTTGATTATTTGACCGGAGATGTCAACGACGACGGCGGCGCCGGAGACGGAGAAGAAAGAAGAGGAGGTGAAGGGTGGGGAGTTGTTGTTCTGTGGTACGACAGCTTGGGACAGCATTGGACGCCGTAAAGGTTTACCGGAAGCTAACCTAGTTTTGCCAACACGGCTCCGGCCTCTCGTCGGCGTTGACATTTGCTACGTTGCATCTGGCTGTGGTAAGTCTTTCTGAGTAACAATGTCTTTGTGTTTTAACCTTTTTACCGAGTTTTTGGCGTTTAGAGGTTAATATGATGTTTTTGGAAATATTTCTCTGTAGCATCTTGTCATTGTGTGGCTCTGGATGTGGATGGACGTTGCTATACCTGGGGCCGGAACGATGTAAGTTGAAAACATTTTTTGTTGAAATTAATTTGTCAAAGTGAATATTTTTTACTGTGAGTGTATTTTTCAAGATGAAGACTTTAAGTATTAAACTGTGTCATGAATGCTGACAAACATAAAGTGTGGGGTTTTAATTGTATGAATATTAATCTATGTGATCCTAATAGTCAGGATAGGGGCCGTGGGGCCATCTTGTCTAAACAGAGTGTGTTCTTGCACAAAGTTGTAGTGTTTTGATATCTTATAGAGGAAAATCACTGTGTGTTTTCAGAAGGGACAGCTTGGACATGGGGATCAAATTCAACGAGATAGGCCAACGGTCGTCTCTGCATTGGCTTCGTAAGTCTTATTCTGATTCTGGGGACATCATGTACTGGTGTTCCGGCTTTATGTGCTTATTTTATGAGGTTGTGCTTTGTGCATGTGATTTGCAAACTTAGGGGCTGTTTACCAAACGCTTACCCGGGTAAGCGCATAACGGTAAAATTCAACACTATCACTTAATTACCGGGTAAGATTCTAGTCCACGAAAACGTTATCCTATGCAACATTTTACACGGTAAGCGCTAACCATGGTAAGAGTAGTTGCCCCCACTTACCGGGTAAGATTCTTGGTTCTTGCCATATTCATTTGGTAAGGTAACGTGACTTGGTAAGCACTTATCCAAGTAATATTTGGTAAACGGCCCCTTAGTACTGTTACTTGGATGCTCAATGAATTTGTAATTCACGTATCCTTGAGGAGGTGATACGATGTCATTGAAGTTATCAAAATCATACTATACAATATCCAAAATGCATGATTATGTTCCATTCATGAGACAAATGATGGAAAATACGTTATCAAATTGGATTCCGACTTGAACTCGTGCGGTAGTGAAACAAAGTATGTAATACTATTCTATATATTTACCATATTTGTGGATTTAGTGTTTATTGATGAAGAACTTAGCAGGAGAACCACATATAGAAAGGATTTTTTTTGTTGGGTGATAAGTCTCTCGTGCTTCGTATTTGACAATGTTGTTATTTGCACGTACAAATACACACATTTATTGGTTCGCATATCACTAGAATGCTTGCCTTTAGTGCTTTTATATTTATGCAAAGTATATAGTGTACTTAAGTAAAACTTGAAACAGATCTATAATGCAGTTCAATTCACAGTTCAAGAAATAACTGTAGTATTTCTTGATTCGATTTACAAATTGGCAACTACCCATAGGTGGGTAATGACTAACGAACATGAAGTATTTGATATATGAGGATATGCAAGTTATGGGATCACATTTTCATAAATTTGTGCATCTTATCTACATACGTGTTGTTGTCTCATAATCTTATTTATGCCATCTATGTTTATTGCTTCAACACAGCACTCTTTTGTGTCAACGTGTTCGTCTTGCTTTCAGGTACAAAATTGTTAAAGCTGGGAGTGGGAGAGCCCATATGGTTGTAGTAACTGAAGATGGCCTCTCTCTGTCTTTTGGTTGGAATAAACATGGGCAGCTTGGAACAGGCTCAGTCAAGAATGGTGGGTTCTTCATTCTTCTACCCCTTTCCATCCACTTACCATTACCATAATTTTAGCGTCCGCCATAAACTGCAGATTCTGACTCATTTACACATGGATTTCTACAGTGCAATGGAAACAAAACATTGACCAAACTACGAAACAAAACATTGTTTACGCTTCACACCCATTGTATACATTTTAATATTTAATTTGACAGGGTACTAAATATATATTTGCATTCACTGTACTATGAATCCGAATTGTGTACCTGTCATGTTTAACCCTCCACAGGTCGTGAACCAGCGACTTAGTATGGTGTATCCTTACGGACCTTACCCACGGAATGGATCAACTATACTGTGGATTGGGCAACAATACTTCACTTTTGCTGTGAACTAGGTTCAACCAGGCTACTCTATGTGGGACAAAGAACCAGAAGGATAATGGGATAGCTTTTATGCTAAAAGGAACTAGGGTTTCAAGGTATTACATTGAGAAACCCTAGGATTTCTTGAGAATGGCACATGAAATTAGACAAATCAATCAACCAAACTAAGTATTTTAGACAAATCAATCAACCAAACTAAGTAACTTTTTGTGGAGAACACAATACCCTTTTTTTAAATAATAGAGATGTGAATTTATATGACATGGCAACAAAAATACACTAAAAATCTCATATGGATACCAACAAACTTAAGCATTCGAGTCAAATTAAAAGTTGCAACAAGTTATAATATACAACTACTAATCTATTCTTCCATTGTCCCCACTAACAGTCTGCAGGGCTAGAATTATAAGTTGCTTATTTCCTGGCCCGAAGAAGGTTTTTGTTTATGCTAATAAGGTTCTTGTCTCTTTGTCTTCTGTAGAAATTGAGCTATATCCAGTACGCTGTCTGGTATCTGAAGTAAAAAATGTTGCTTGTGGGGCTGATTTTACTGTTTGGTTGACTTCTGTTGAAGGCGCTTCCATACTGTATGATCAGTGCATTTTTTATACTGGATTATCTTGATGCTAAATTAAGTTTGCCTGTGGTTGCAAGCTGTATACCAAACATTTGCTGAATGTACAGTGTTTCTTGGTTTTTAGAACTGCTGGACTTCCTCAGTATGGTCAACTTGGACATGGAACTGACAATGAGGTACACTTCCTTTTGTTTGTTTCTTTCAGGGTGATTATTTCTGTATCCAAGCTGTTCTGGTAGTAATTGCATAGTATTACCGTCACCATAGTTAAATAGCAAATGTATGATATCACTCGATGACGGTGGCAGTAAAGATAAGTTGATGTGTATAGTTTTTTGCCAAATGTGGCTAGATTCTTCTGGATATTATTGAACTGGAGTTAGCTAACCTATTGTCTTAAATATCAAGTATTGGTTGTGTAGTCATTTGATTTGACTTTTTGCAAGATTGGTGGGTTTTTTAGTTGCGGGTGGACTGGTAACATATCTATATGACTATATTTACTGTTTTTGGCTCCCCATTAATTTGTAATGGGCAATATCCACACGATTACTTGGTAACTTACTTCTAAAGGTAGAGAACGCTGCATTCTGTAGCCTAGTCTCGCTTAGTTCACAACCAAACTATAGTGGCTCTCTTTGGCAATATCTAGTTATATCTTACTGTTAAAGCATCTCGTTGTTGGTGACTTGATGTCTTCATCATTTTAGCTTCTGGTTGACTCTCAACCATAGGAATGGATGTCTACATTGTCAAGGTATATAGACATTCAGCAGTATCATGGACACAGTTTGTATCACATTCTTGGTCTAAGGCTTGCTCCCAGAAATATGTGATGCAAGTACTCACAGAGAAGGTCTAAGGAAGATGAGGAAAAAAGGTTCTAACAAAGGTGTAGCTATTCTGTAGGTCAAGATGCAGGACCAAACTACTCATCCTTGTCATATCTATCTTCTGTCAAATCTGAAATTTAATCATGAAAAAGAATTGCAAGTTGGTAAGATCAAGCTGAGAATTCAAAACTATCAAACGATCCCTATCACCATAGAACCTTTAAATATCTTGAACTCCTCAATTATAGTTCAATACCTCAATAAGTGTCACTGTCTTCTCTTAATTTACTCAGCTTTGTTCCTTGTTCCAGTAACGCTCAAGCCAGTTAGTTTATTAAAACTTTAATCCATATAAAATACAACATCAAAGTATCAATAAGTTTCAAGTGAGCTGATTGGATTTACCAATGTAGTAAAAATTAGTGCACAATCATGTTAATAGGGCCTGGGGCCACTGTTTGATGTTCATAATTTTTATATGTACTTGGATATATTGAGGTCTCCTAGACATAATGTTATTTGAACTTGACAAATTAAGTTAGGTTATAGTGTCTCACCATGTGTTACATTGCTCTTGGCTTATAGTGGGAGTGAGAGTATGTCATCTTAATGTACGTGGTAGTGCTGGCTGGAGATGGGGGTAGATTTACTACCCATGTGGCACAGAAATTATGTGTTATTTCATCCTAATTCATTTTTCATTTGAAACTAGAACTTCATAGATATACATTTATCCATTTCCACTCTCTCCCTTTTTTTCCTCTCTTCCCAGCTGTAGCTTCTATTACCAATCGGTAGCACAAATCAAAGAGAAAAAAATAATATCTATACATGTGTAAGAAGATCGTTGAACTTTCATTTTGAAATATTTTAGGAGAGGGATAAGCTAAAAATGTAAACACAATTATGCAAAGACTGTTACTGTAACATTACCTTTGATTTGAAGTGGTTAAGGGAAGGAAACCAAATCCTTTCAGAGTGTCTGCTTGTATGTTCCATAGTGGGAGTTCTAACAGCCGCCTGTAAGAAACGAGTAAACACGATTGTACAAAGACTGTTACCGACTTACTGTAACATGGTATGATTTGCCACGCCCATCCACTTCTTCCAACTGGAAATATATCAGTAAAAAGGAAGTAAATAAAGGACACCCTAGATGTCCACTCCCGGCCATCCGAGAAGACGCGTTTACCTACTTTACCATAAAATGGGGCACTGAGTTTGCTGGGCTATGCATACCTCCAAAAGAAGAAAAAAGATATATTTTTTCATGGAGCTGACGATGGGCACAGCTCACAGCCCTCTCTGTTTATATGGTGTTAAGAGAAATAAAAGTCAAGTTTATTGGTAATTGAATCTTGAAGCACATGTAATTTATGGGTCTCATCTGTGATGAGGTTTTATAGTTTTTTGAAATTTGATATCTTGTATAAATTTTTATGCTTTGATCCGTATTACCTTAAATAGATTAAAACTTAATACATGATTTTATGCTGTTCCAAACTTGATAAAGTATTTCTTATTTTTCAGTACAATACCAAAGATAGCTCGGTAAGGCTTGCGTATGAGGCACAGCCCCGCCCTAAGGCTATAGGTTCTCTTGCTGGTCAAACCATAGTAAAAGTTGCTTGTGGATCAAACCATACAGGTTATACATATAGTCTGTATTTTTTATATGTTGCCCCCTGTATGCGAATAAAACAGATGCATTCTTGTGTCTTATGGTGTTTATTTATTTTTAATTATTTTTATTATGATTGTTCTGTCTCTAATATGGTTGGGTGTTCAGTTGCTGTGGACTCGCAGGGCTACGTTTACACGTAAGTTTTCCTGCACTTCTTGTAAATGCTGATAAAAGAACGTCATTGGTAATATGTGGTTCTTTCTTTTACTAAATACTTGCTCCAAAACATTGTAGGTGGGGCTTTGGAGGATACGGAAGGTCAGTACTTCTTGATTCTCATTAAGATTTTATGCATGCTGGCCTAGTTATCCATTTCATGGATGGATTCTTAACTTGAGTTTTTAGTACTACTGTTCTTGATCCTCTGCATGGCGGTTATAATCTATCTACTTAAACTCCAATTGTAGGCTTGGGCATAGAGAGCAAAAGGATGAGTTTAGTCCTCGCCGTCTTGACGTGTTCACGAAGCACAATCTTGTACCTCCTGGTGCAGTGGTTTCTGCTGGTTCTGTGAATTGTGCTTGTACTGCTGGTATGTCTTTTTGTTCTTTGCTTGTTGGTAAAAAACGGGTTTTGCACATAATAACTTCTTTTCTATTATCAGTGAACTTTTTTTGTTGGTTGGTGTGATTGGAAATGTGCATCATTCTCTTACTGAAGTTGCAACTAGCATGGAATGATATATGATTCGCCAAGCCAATTTTTTTGGTACATAATATCCTACATAGCTTGTTAGGGGGGGGGGGGGTTAAGGCTAGACAAGCAGGGATGCAAAGCTCTCTTATCTGTTTTTTGTCTTAGCATGATCTAACAAAGCTATTGATGACATCGGGTGAATTCATGACACTAAGGGACCGTTTACGAAACACTTACCCGGTAAGTGCTTATCAAGTTACATTACCTTACTGATGAATATGGAAGGACCAATAATCTTAACTAGTAAGAGTAAAGACAAGGACCTAGAGTCTTACCCGGTAAGTGAGGACGACTCTTACCATGGTTAGCGCTTACCGGGTAAATTATTGTATACGATACCGTTTTGGTGGACTAAAATCTTACCTAGTAAGTAAGTGATAGTATTGAATTTTGCCGATAAGTACTTACCCGGGTAAACGGATCCTAAGGTAGACATGTGTGCAAAGTTGGAAATGTGGAGAAATGCCTTGGAATCTCTAGATTTAGATTTTCTTATCGAGGGAAGGAGCTGAATATCTGTTAGCTGCCCATAAGCAGGTGCTTGAAAACTTCTGTTTTGTACTGTGGGTTGATTCTGCATCGAGAGTGAAAGTTATGAAATTTTAAGTTGTAGCATAAGACGAACATGGAAGAACAGAGGACATGCTTTTGGAGTGTTGTGTGATGTTCAAGTGCCATTGAAGCTGAATGGTAGAGAAATGAGAGAGCATGTCGTGAAATTATTTGGTCCATCTCCCCAATAGATGTTGGAGAGGTTGTATCAAGCAACAGCCACCAGGATGTTTGGGGATTGAAGTTAACTTTGGTTGATGTAAATGAAACTGCAGAGATATGAACCTGGCCCATGTTTACAACTTAAACAGTTAGATCCTCAAAAAATATTGTGATGATGTTTTCATGCTCGTTGTATTGTGACCGACAAATTTCTTTGTTCAGGTGGAGGGCAGATGTACATGTGGGGCAAGATAAAGAACACTGGTGATGATTGGATGTACCCTAAACCTCTAATGGATCTCAGGTTTCTACCTTCTGCCTAACTGCTGATATCGTAGCACTTCATGATCTGCTATTTATAGATTTTGCATGTTTATTTGAATATTGATGGTTGATGATCCCCTTTGGGGTCTACTTTGTTCTTTTAAAAACTTGTGTGTTAGGACTTGATATCATCTACCCGCTAAGTGGGTCAGTACCATCCTTTGGACAAACATCTTTTTTCTTTTTATGTGAGTGAATAGATATTGAATGATATCTTCCTAACTACTTTGATGAATGAGGGATATGCTTGTACGCTTATTACCACCTCCTTATTGGAATTTAGAAGAGCTCAAGTTTAATTGAATTCCAAAGTATTTCTTGACCTCTACCTTACCATATCTGTTATCTCCCATGTTTTAAATTTGTCATGATTATTTTTATGTTATCCCTGAGTGCAAGTTATGGTCTTCAAGGTTGGATGTCTATTGCAATTTGGGTTATCTATTTTATTTGAACTTGTTTTAGTTAACACTTTTGTTTCTTATTCTTTTGTAGTGGTTGGAACATTCGCTGCATGGATTCAGGCAGTATGCATCATTTTGTTGGTGCTGATAGCTCATGCATAAGTTGGGGGCATGCGCAGTCTGGTGAACTTGGATATGGGCCTAATCAGCAGAAGTATGTTAGTTTTCTTATACTTTTTTCACGCTTATCTTTCCCTACTTATTAATAGTAATTTTCTGTGTTTGAGTTGCAGATCTTCTGCAATCCCCAAAAAGGTGGACATACTCGAAGGCATGCATGTTATCAGGTTCGTACTTGATTTTTGTGTGTGTGCGCGTGTGACCACTATTTTATTATGTGCTTATTGTGTGCGTTCTGAAAGCTTTATTATGTTCTTATTTGGTGATTATTTTTTGTTGTCTTGTAGTGTTGCATGTGGTTTTGCACATTCCTTGGTGGTGGTCGATAGAACAAATGTTGCTGATCAACTTGACCAGGTAACTAGAAGTTGTAGACGCTTGTTGCCCTTGTGTTTTCTTTCTTTTAATCCTGCCTGTTGTGTATTTTATTTGGTGAAGTTAAAAAAGGGCCAATTAGTTAAATGACTATGAATAAATTTTCAGTCAGGAACATGACGTTTTGATTTTTTTCCCCTTTTAACTCGATAACCTTGAAATGACCTGCCTCTGGTGTAAAACAGTCTGCCCCGGTGAAACCTTTGTAAAAACACTAATGTTAATTTGTAAAAAGGACAAACATGGATCAAAATACATGAAACTTTGATTTAGTTCCTATTTGGTGTAACAAATAATATATATATATATATATATATATATCTATATCTATATATATATATATATTTCCAATCTATGCTATGAAGTTTAAGTTTGTTTATCTTTTCTACCCATTTTGACCGGTAACCTGCTGATCATGTAAGGTTTAATGACTTGGATACCCATTTACGAAAGGTTTATAAAATGTACAAGGAAGGTTTACAGCAAATTGGACAATAAACTTGACATCTATGTCATCAAGTGTTACAAGATCAACGGGTTATCGGTCAAATTAAGATGTTTTGAAACTTTGTTACATTAATTGAGGAAAAAAAGATTATGTTACACTAAATAGGAACAGATGCACACTTAGTTACATTTTGATGCATTTTCTCTAGTAAAAACGACTTCCATTGAAAAAACACTTTGTTTCTCTAGTAAAAACGACTTCCATTGAGGTTTTGTTTTAACTCTTGGTGGTTGTTTACAGCTTGATATTTATGATGGCAAAGCTGCGGGTGAAGGGGTTGAAGAACCTGATACTAAACCTCCACCACCCAAGAAAACCAACAAGAAAGCTGGTGCAAAAGCACCTCAAACTTCCAACAAAAGGAAGAAATCGAAAGAATCTTCAGATTCAGAAGACTCGGAACAGGAAAGCATTGATGAAGATGAGGATGAAAGTGATGAAGAGGCTAACGGGTTTGCTGAAAAGAAGAGTCGGAGGGGTGGGAAGGCTGCTGGCAGAGGTCGAGGCAGGGGTCGCCCTCCGGCAGCGGCAAAGGAAGGAGGAGCGGTGGCGGCACCGGCAAAGAGGGGAAGAGGAAGACCAAAGAAGGCATGAGTGTTCCAATTTTGGCATGTCTGTACTTTACTATGATCATTTCACTAACTACTTTGTATTCTGATCCATGGTGCATTTGGAAGAAAGGATGGCTTAATGGGTAGAGGATGATGGGTGGAACTTCTTTAACTTCATTTCATTGTGAATTTGTGTATTTTCAATTTGGATGGTTTTTCATTAATGCAATTTTTTTGCATTGTTGGACTGTGGACCCTCTTCTTTCCTTCAAGTTGTAAGCTACTCTTTGGTTGTAGAATTTGTTTCATTGCAATCTCATGTTTGGTTTGAAAGGTTTTTTAAATTGAAATCTTGATCATCTGTTTCTAATGTTCTGTGAATAGTCGGGACATTGAGGAATATCTAGAAAGGCATTTTGGGAATCGGTTTGATTCTATCACTGATCTCAAAGAATTGATCTTTTTTTAGTTGTTGAATCTTTTTTTTGATTGATCAACGTGTGATGTTTAACCAAATCAAATTCTCTCTCGATATGTTCATCGAAAATTCCGATTCGGACTGATTCATATTCATTATTTAAATTCTTCTTCGTATTCACTGAAAGGAGATAGGTGGTTGGTATATTTCATGAGACTTCGATTTGTATGTAAAATGTTTTAGGATATGTTAAAAATACTTGTTTTGTAATAATTAATTAATAAAAGATTAATTTTTAATTATTTTTTATATTTATTTGTAAATTATTCATAAAGAATGAAATACAATTCTTATCCCAAATCTACAAATCAAACAAGTCAAAGATATCAAAACCCTCCACTTCCAAGTCCTTTCGATAAATCCAAATCCCTTGTAATCATTTTATCAAACCAAACGTCTCCTAAAGGGTCGTTTGGTTCACGAAATTTGAAGGAATTTGATGGAATTGGAATGACAAATTCCTTTGACCAAACTACAATTCCTTTGTTTGGTTCATTTTTTTGAAATTGATGGAATCCATCACCAGCCACTACGACCATGCTACTATTGTTCGTCATGCTTCACCCCTAACCCCCCACCACGACCACACCACTATTGTCGCCGCCACCCATCCACTAACCTTACCCCACCACTAACCACCATGCCACTACTGTTGTCATCACACCCACCCACCCACCCCCGGTCACTCACTGTATATCCCTATTACAACCATGTTACTATCACGCCCCTAACTTAACCCCCACCACCATGCCATTATTGTCGCTGTTACAATTGCCACTCACCCTCATCCACCCCACCTCAACCCACCACTAAACACCATGCTACTACTGT